TTTTTTGCCCAGGGGCTTGTCATCTAAACGGTGAATTGAGGAAACTGAACTTTGGATGCCGTGTCGGTGGTGACTCATGTGGCTAACATGCAGATGCTTAATGTGTAAACACCTTATTCACAAATCTAATTCATCTGAAGCTAATTTGATTGAATTATTGCGGTACTTAATAGATGAACAAATGATGAGTCCATGTGAAGTGGCAAGGGTTATGTTATCTACGATTAATTAATTGAAGACTAGATTTTAGTTAATTCTGCTTTAATGTAATCATTGTGTGGTAAAATTGGCAACTGGCTGAAGTTATAAGGGGACTCTGATTGCGGTTTCTTATTAAAACAAGAAATTTGTGGTGAAATTCGAGGTGTACCCCGCCCTATACAAAGAAGAGCTTAAGTCTAACTGGAATGGTAACTACTAATTTTACCACTCATTGCAGAAAGGCGTAATTTAAAACACGTTTAAACAAGTGGATTGAGCAAACGGTCCCTTTAAGAATTAGGCAGTGAGTTATAATTTGGAAACGGCCTCAGAAAAGAGTATTCACCATCGTTTCATCTCTGATTCCTCTCGGTGTCTCCCAAACAAAATGGCAACTAAAATAAATAATGCTAAGCAAGGGAGCAAGAAAGACAGAAAAAAAATGGAACAGAAAAACTCCTTTCCAATTTTTTCTCGCCACAAGACAGAGATAACTCACTAAGAAGATTGAGTCAACTTGAACCAACAAATTATAGAAATGAAGATGCAAGCAGTCTGAATCAAAAAGACAAATGCAATAGTAAACAAATTCCGGATTGCTCGTTTAGTGATCCACTAAGTATCGACAGAGAAGTATTAAATAATTGCTTCGAAGTACAAATGGAAAAAATTTAATTCAGGTTGTCTCCTCAACTTTTAAAGAGGAAATATGTAAATTAAACGTTAAAATCTCATCTCTGGAAGAAAAACTTGAATACTCAATCGTACAAAACAACTTAATGTAAGAAAAAAATAAAGCTACTGGAACGAAGAATTGATCAACTGGAATCGAAACATGTGGAAAGCAAAGACAGAACACCTAGAAATAACATCAGGATTAGGGGAATCCCAGAAAATATTTTACAACAGCAGTTAGAGCGATATCTGGAAGAGTTTTTTTTTATTTTTTGGTTTACAACTGGATAACATTCAATTTATCATTGAGAGAGTCCATAGAATACCAAAATTTAGTGGCTTACCGGCCCATATACCAAGAGAAGTTATCGTGAGTCTGCACTCCTTTTCATTTAAAGCTAAAAACAAAGTCTCTAAAAGACTCTAAATGTGGAGAGTTAAAAATCTGTAACGACATATCCCTCGCTACCAGGAATGCCAGAAATTTGTATATGGCTCATACTTTTAAATTAAGGGATAATAATATAAAATATGCATGGACATTCCCAGTTGGAATAAGAATCTACTATAGAGAAAAAACAGAACTGTTCAAAGACCCGAAAAGCTTACAACAGTGGCTTCTGTCTAATGATCTTGCATAAGTGGGGAATGAGAGATAGAAAGAGGAAGACAAGGGATTTTTTTTTTGTGTGTGTGTGTGTGTGTGTGTGTGTGTGAAGATTGAGTTGATTCAATATAAAAGGTGTAATTTTAACACAAAGATTTATAATAGTCACGCATTAAAAAAGGGATGCTTTTAGATATGTAAGATTTAACACGCCACTTACTTAAAACAGATGGTTAGTAAACTATAAGATATTGTGGCTTCACTAATATAAGATTTATTGTTTACCTTCTATAGGGCTCTTAAATGCATAATACTATCTGCAATTATTTGATAGAAATTTTTCACAGTCATAGGTAGTGAGGGCAGTGTTTTACCATACATTTTAAGCGAAGGTAATGACATAGGAGTGAAATATTCACTAAGGAGTGAAAATATTTTTCTCAATTTCTTAAAAGACGAGGCAATCACGATTTGTGGAGTTCAAGAGATGCAATGGCTCAAGTCTAAAGATTACCCATATTTTTTTGCCTCATCGATGTCTAATAAAAAGAAAAGAGGAGTAGCTACGCTCATTTTAAACCAGTGTAGCTTTTAAATGTATTCACCAGGATGAAGATATTGAAGGGAGAACTCACATATTAATATGTGAAATCAATAATCAAATTTATACAATTGTAAATATATATTCCCGAAACCAGTCATCTATGAAATTTATTTGTAAAATATTCAACAAGGTTGATCGAACTAGACAAGGGAGGATAATCTACCTGGGGGATTTTAACTGTACCTTGGACCCAGATATGGATTGGAAGAGTCTATTTAGAGATCAGAATAATCGGCACCTGAAAAAATCAGGAGCTTTAATGATATTCTGAGAAAGAGAGGTCTCTTGGACCTGTGGTGAATATCACATCCTGTGGAAAAGGATTTCACTTGATTTTCTTATGCACACCAGGTCTACTCAAGAATTAGTCTCATTATTGCTGAACCAGAATTATCAAAAATATTGAAGAAAATCTTCATTATTAATATACCTTGGTCTGACCATAATGCAATTGTAACGGATCTCCTATACTCCAGCTGAGCATATCTGTGCAGAACCTCCAGAAATCCAAGTGTAGCAGAAGTGTAGTGAATTATAGCTCCCAATCCCCCAAACATGAACAAAGGGGTAAAACGATCTGTTTAATGGTGGCCACAGCTTGGCGTTTTATGCAAGTCCTCCAGCAAGGGATACTCCCACATGGACCTTGTGGAGGACTGGGACACAATTACAGTAACCAATCAACAGACAGTTACAATGTAAAACACTCCCACATAAACAGTAAAATCCTCCTCTCTATCCTGGAGATAATTGGATTAAGTGGCCATAGTAAACTTAATTATCTCCAGGTACAGACAATATTCCTAAATTAAAAACTTCACAAAACACGTTAAAATACATAAAATCGGGGGGCAGAGCCTGACTACAGAGCAGACCGGACGTGTGTTGCATGAGCTCCTGTGTCTGGCACATCAAACTCGACAGCAAAACCGAATTAAAAACCTGCAGAGCTGCAAAACCTTACCCAGCTTGTTCCTGACATGCCGGCGGTCTCAGGGATACCTCTCGCGGTCCTCTCCTCCGCTGCAAATCCAACTCGAGGCTTTGCGGTCTACCAGTAACTGGGCCAGGGAGAGACCGCCGCTCTCCCACAGCCCTAACTGGAGGTGACACTCGACTAAAGAGGTTCCCCCCCCCCCTTGGACCAGTGGGAGTCATCCCGGTCCTATCCGGCAAGTGCAGAGTACGCAGACGGCAGACACCTACCGCATGGAACAACAGGCTGACTCAGACCATCAGCAGCCAAGATCCCCTGGGGTGCCCAAGATGGCGGACACACACGCCTCGCACACAGCAACGAGCCAAGTGGAGCGAACACTCCAACGCATTGACAAGCTATTTGCCCAATTCTAGGCCCAGCTGGAGAAGCGAGTGCAACCCACACAGCGACCAAGTCAAGGGAGAACCCAGAGGGGCCCAAGCCCTAACACTGAAGGTTATCAAATGGGCACAAACTTGTATAATTAATATAAAAATGTGCAATTTAAGCTATACTGTTAGGTTTCCCTATTATGTGCATACAAATGTTTGTTGCTTAACAGAGTATCATCCATGCACAACCAAAATAAAGAATTGAAAAAAAAAAAAAATTTAGATCTTTTTAGTTTGGAAAAATGGCGCCTGAGAGGGGATATGATAACATTATACAAATATGTTCGGGGCCAGTACAAACCATTATCTGGAAATCTATTCATAAACAGGGCTATACATAGGACACAAGATCACACATTTAGGCTGGAAGAAATTCGATTTAATCTAAGGCAAAGGAAATTAGTTTTTTTTACAGTAAGAACTCTAAGGATATGGAATTCTCTGCCTGAAGAGGTGGTTTTATCAGAGTCCATCCAGATGTTTAAACAGCAATTGGATAAATACTTCCAAAAACATAACATACAGGGATATAATTTATAGTTAGTGGGGTAATAGCTGATCTAAAGAGATATCTGACTGCCATTTTGGGATCAAGAAGGAATTTTTTTCTAGTTTGTTACAAAATTGGAAGCGCTACAGACTGGGTTTTTTGCCTTCTTTTGGATCAACAACAAAAACCATTTGTAAGGAAGACTGAACTTGATGGATGTAAGTCTCTTTTCAGCTATGTAACTATATACACCTCATGAGTAGAGTTGAGCGGACACCTGGATGTTCGGGTCCGGCAGGTTCGGTCAAACTTTGAAAAAAAGTCCAGGTTCATTCTCAAACTTGACCCCGAACCCAATTGAAGTCAATGGGGACCCAAACTTTTGGCCACAAAAATGCCTCTTAAAAACTCCTGGAAAGAGCTAGAGAGCTGCAAAAGCAAGTAAAATGGGGGTAAGAGTAGGACAAGTGCCCTGCAAACAAATGTGGATAGGGAAATCACTTAAAATAACATAAAAATACAGCTGAACCATAAAATAGCACTAGATGGAATCTTTGATTTTAGCTTTGGAAGAACATAAATCAAAATCTAAAGCATGGCTGTCAGGAGGATCACCAGAATTATCCATTAGAGAAAGGGTTGGAGTGCAGGGTATTCTCTTTCATTGTTCAAACTGAGTTCAACTCCTTATGCATGGAGAAAAGGCCTTCACAAGCCTCTGCTATTGTGTACATAGTTTATACTAAGTGACCCATAGGTTGAGGAGTCGGCGACCATGGCGGTGTAGGTGGAAGCGGCGGTGGAGGAGGAGGTAGCCAACACTGTTTATATATATATATATAATTTGTTATTTATTTTAATTGGGGTAGCCTCCAAAATATTGTGACATGCAAAAAAAGAAACATTTGCGGCCTGCGGTGCATTTCTTGCAGTCCTGATGCATGGAGAAATGCTCAACTCCTGATGCATGGAGAAAAGGCCTTCACAAGCCTCTGCTATTGTGTACATAGTTTATACTAAGTGACCCATAGGCTGAGGATGCGGTGACCGTGGCGGTGGACGTGGAAGCAGCAGTGGAGGAGGAGGATGAGGTAGCCAACACTGTTTTTTATTTATATATAAATTTTAATTGGGGTAGCCCCCAAAATATTGGGACATATAAAAAAAAGACAACTGTTCCGCGAGTAGCTGTTGAGATTATAGTTGCGCAGACACTTTGTTGACTCTAGAGAACCTCGGGCCAATCGCACATCCCCGTGGCGGCGACTTTGCATGCGGATGTCATCCATATCAACTTTCGATGCCAGTTTCTACGCCTACCATGGTAACCAGGGGTAACAGGAAATCAGGGTTCAATTCCGTACAGGGACCCTGAGAAACGGCCACCACATGCAAGGAAGGCAGCAGGCGCGCAAATGACCCACTCCCGACGCAGGAAGGTAGTGACGACAAATAACAATACAGGACTCTTTAGAGGCCCTTTAATTGTAATGAGTCCACTTGAAATCCTTTAACTCTGATCAATTGGAGGGAAGTCTGGTGCAGAGCCACTGACCCATGCGTGCTGCAGCTGAAACTCCACTATCGCATGCTGCTGCTCGCACAGTCTCATGAAGTGGTGAGCGGGAAGGCCGACAGGCGAGGAGCAGCAGGGTGACAACGCTAAAAGCACGCACAGCCGCTACAGTGAATGTCACATCCTGTTCCAAGTTGCGGATCAGTCTTGTGATGGCTTCTGGTATCCAGTACTCTTTTTACTGAAGCTGTATAAGGGTCCTGGTATGTGGCCGCACAAACGCTGGTGCTCAACACCAGAGTGCGTGCGGTTACCCTGCACCAGACTCAGATGCTAATCCATTCCACACTGTGACTCCTAACTTCAACATCAGGCATACTGTGTCCCGGTCGTCCGACCGCCGCCCAGACAGTGTCTGGGTCCTGGTCACCGGACTGCCCACCTGAGTGTGAAACTACGAATGGATCGTTAAATCTGGTACGAACCCGAACTTTGCAGTTTGACTTGTGAGGGTATTGCCCCAGAATTACAATATTGTTTAAGTACCTCTTAGCTATTGTTTACTGGTTTAAATATAGCAGCTTGTTATCTGGTAGTTTCTAGTGTAGAAAATATCAATCTGTTTTCTATCACTTAGATCGGTGTAACAAGTGTTGTAGGTGTGAAACAATATTACAAGTGACCGATGTAGTAAATTCGAAGTTACGCTTCGATTTGACTCTCAGATATGAAGTGCACCGCAGGCCGCAAATGCACTATTTAGCAGATTAGCAGCAAAAGAATTAGAATTTTTACAACTGCGCTGTAAGCACACTATTAGACTGTTACGCTACTTGGGTGATTTGGATTGTAACTCAACTGCAGCTTGTAAACTCCCTAATTACAATAGTGAAGAAATGGAGAATCTTTAAAGTATCAATACTGTAGCTTTAAGAAAAGAGAGAATCGCTGGTAACTTGATTCAAACAAAGTTTTAATAAGTGTTAAACTTAAATGAATTGCATTTAGGCAATAATCCAATAAGAAGAAGAGGTGCAAGTAATCAACAACACAAAGTTCATTAATAAATGTTTCCTCAGAGATGCATTAAGTAACATTCTTCAGTTCATGAGAATAATCTTCAATAGAAACAATAAGCAAGTAGCTAAGAATAATTGCAAAGCAGGAACAGTTCATAGTTAATAAGCATGATGGGAGTTGTCCTCCATATAATTAATAGCTTGAAGCAGTGAAGATTTGAGTAAGCAAGCTTTAGTTCATTTTTAAATGATATTGTAGACAAATAGCTGAAAGATATACTTAAGATTAATATGTGTAGTCCTCCAATAGTTAAGAGATATGGTCCACTTGTAAAGTAGCAAAGTATCCGTTCTCCAGTATTCCTTTATGGCATGCAGCAATCCTTGCATTGGCTCAAAGGCTGGAACGGCTTGTCTGAGCTTGTGGAGAGGTAAGTCTGGTGGAAGTAGCTCCCAGTAGCTGAGCCTGTGGAGCCCACGGTCTCGCAGAGGCAGCTCACACACAATCACCAAGCACCCTCTCTCTGGCCCAGTCTCCCTAAATACCGTCAGAGCTGTGTCAAAGGGGGGCGGGGTCCAGCTCCTCACAGCCAAGTGCCGAACCCGGAAGTGTTACTCCATGACATAGACGCTTCGATTTGACTCTCAGATATGAAGTGAACACCCCAAATATACTATTTAGCACCCAAAAATATTTGACTTTTTAAAACTCCAATGTAAGCAGCAGATTAGCAGCAAAACAATTAGAATGTTTACAACTGCGCACAGGGCCGGACTGGCCCACCGGGATACCGGGAAATTGCCCGGTGGGCCGTGGCACTTGGGGCCGCACAGTGCAGTAGCCCTTCCTCTCCCCACCCAGTACACACACTCTCACATTGGGGGTACTGGGGAGCACAGGTCACCTCTTACCTCTAGAAGAGGCTTTCCTTATCCACTCGCGAGCAGCAGGTGCAGTAATTAAAACTTTCAATGCTGCTCGTGAGCCTGGAGTGAGTGCAGGGAGGATGGAAGTCTCGGTCCCTGCCTGACAGCCTTCACACACAGGAAGCATGTGACCTGGCAATGAGGCAGAGCAGGGCAGCCCACACGGGTCTTCCGAAGTCTTGCTTCTTGTGTGTAAAGTGCTGCCAGGCAGGGAGCCCTGTGAGAGAGCTGGAGGGAAGCTGCTGGGAAGGAGCAAGGTAGGCTCAGTGAGCAGAGGCACCAAGGCATTTCATTTTAATTGTACTGATTCTTAGAGTGTTTATATTTGAGGGTGTAGTTGTGAGTGTGTTTGGTGTGTATTTTTGTAGTGTGTGTGTCAGTATGGATCAATGTGTGTGTGTGTGTTATTATGGATCAATGTGTGTGTGTGTGTGTGTGTCAGTATGGATCAGTGTGTGTGTGTCAGTATGGATCAATGTGTGTGTGTGTGTGTCAGTATGGATCAATGTGTCAGTATGGATCAATGTGTGTGTGTGTGTCAGTATGGATCAATGTGTCAGTATGGATCAATGTGTGTGTGTCAGTATGGATCAATGTGTCAGTATGGATCAATGTGTGTGTGTGTGTCGGTATGGATCAATGTGTCAGTATGGATCAATGTGTCAGTGTGGATCAGTGTGTGTGTGTCAGTATGGATCAATGTGTCAGTGTGGATCAATGTGTGTGTATGTCAGGGAGTGTGTATGCATTAGTGATTGTGTGCCAGTGTTTGTATGGGATGCAGCATTAGTTTGTGTGCCAGTGTCTGTTGATGAGTATATGTCAGTATGTATGGGCTTCAGTGACTATACGCCTGTGTGTGCCAGTGAGTATTTATTAATTAAAAATCCATGTGTCTGTCTGTTTTTTTTTAATAAATTTAAAATAAATTGAACCTAAAAAAAATTATATATAGTTTTATATAGTTTTGCTTTATCTATGTGATTTGTGGGAGTATTGTGCATCTATATATTTGCACAAATGTATATTAACATATGTGTATTATATCAATATATATATATGTTCAGCCCCCACGGTGATCGGCTGCCTGAGAGCAGAGGCAGGCATTGGGATCACTGAGGACTGAGGCAAGCATGCTGCTGGGGGCGGCCAGCTCATTTATTGCAGAGGGAGGGAGATGGGTGGCTGGCCCATGGAGAGCTGTGGTAGAAAAGGTGGGCAGTTGATGGAGGGGAGCAGCAGGGTAATGCAGAGCAGAGGGAGGCGGACGGCTGACTTAGTGCCTTGGCGAAGGAGCTGTAATCTCCCTGCTCTGCTCCCTTGCGCGGCTTGCAGTGATTCACGGAGCTGGGTTATGATGTCACTCTGGCCCCCGGCTCACTAAACAGTGCGTGAGAGGGAGCCGAGTAGGGAGATGACAGCAGTGCTACTGGACCCCAGGGAAAGCATATTCTCTCCAGCTCTCTAACGGTAAATTTAAATAAAAGATTAATTACTTGTGAGTGAGTGTGTGTGTGTGTCTGAGTGTGTGTATGTTTGTGAGTATGTCTGTTAGTGTGTGCCTGTCGGAGTGTCGGTCTGAGTGTCTGTCTGTGAGTGAGTCTGAGTCGGTCAGTAAGTGTGTGTGTTCCCTCCAATCACATGGGAAAGGGTTTTGTTTTTTGTTTTTTTTAAACTCACCTTTTTTCCACGCTGTGGCTGGCCCCACCTCCATGGCTAAAATCCTCAATCTTGACGATCTCAGCCAATGCAATGCTTCCTCATAGCAAAGCATTGGGAGACTATTGCGCATGCACAGCAAAATGCCACTGCACCAATTTACCTTCTCATAGAGATGCATTGAATCAATGCATCCGTACAGGGAACATTAATGTAAGGGCTGCACAGTGTGAAGCACTGACCCAGGAAGCACCTCTAGAGACCGTCTGAGTGACTGTCACTAGAGGTGTCACTAGACAGCAATATAAACACTGCCTTTTGTCTGAAAAGTCAGTATTTACATTTAAAAGCGTTCAGGGTCGAGGGGGCGGAGCCTAACCTCGGAGGAAGATGGACGCCTGATCTTACAGCTCCCTCTCCCCCAGGCACAGAATCAGCCATCATCCGCATCACACACGGCCCAAACACCCTCCAAACAGCCCCCAGGTGACCACCCAGCACCAGGCTCCACAATATGGGCGGCGGGAAGAAACGGAAAGAAGAGCTCACTCCGTCGGTAGCCTTCATGTTCCGCACGCCGGGGGAATCCCAGAGGCCTACACACTCCTATCAAGGAGCTGATCAAGGTACCGACTCAGAGGGGCCCGAACCCACACTTGACCCCTCGACCCCCCTCACCATCGGGAGCCTCAGGGACATGCTCAAGGAGGCCACAGTGGACATAAAATCCCACGTGGCAGAAGAGATCACCAGTAATTTAGCAGGCCTCAGAACAGAAATACAGACACTGACTGCCCGCACAGACCAGACAGAGGTACGTCTCACCGCACTGACAGCTACCTCCACCTCGCCTCACGGCCATGGAGGACAACCTGGAGGACCTGAACAACAGATCACGGAGGAATAACATCCGAATCCGTGGCCTGCCCGAAGCAGTCCAGCCAGAGACCCTAAGCACCACCCTGAAAGATATCTTTTCTGCAATGGCACCCGAACTACCGCTGCCACTCCTGGAAATGGACCGGGCTCACAGAGCACTACGACCCCCAAATCTGAACCTCTCTACCCCAAGAGACGTAATTATCCGCCTCCACTACTTCCAAACCAAAGAAAAACTAATGCAACTAGCCAGAAACCGCCCTCCCAAGTATAAAGACGTCCGCCTAACCTTCTTCCAGGACTTGGCCCCAACTACATTAAAGAAGAGGAGAGATCTAAAACCCCTCACCTTGGCCCTCCAAGAACAGGGGCTAAAATACACTTGGGGCCACCCCTTTAAACTGCTGGTCAAAAAAGGCGACCAAACCCATATCCTCACCACAGCC